GCCTATATCGTGCACTATATCGAACATTTTTTATATCGTTATCGAAGAAGGTGTACCGTCGATAAATATCGATACCGTTTTATCGCCCAGGCCTTATATATATAAAATTGTATTTATATTAAATTATATACAGTTTTTATTAGTTTTATTATTAGTTTTTAGTCATTTTAGAGTTTATTTTTGTACATCAAGTTCCAAGTAAATAAAAATGACAAATATTGCCTTGTCAACTAGCTAAAATAAAATACGTTTTATATATTTTATTTATATCTTATTCACCCCGAAAATCAAGGTAAACTAAATAAAAAAGAGAAATGCTGAAGCTAGCTGAAATAAATAAATTTGTTTATTATACATTTTGTTTCTGTTAACATTTATTTCATGTAACAGAAATGTGTTTTTATTTTTGTTAGTTTTAGTTTAATTGACCTAGATAATTATGCAATTAACCATGCAATTACAATCAATGGAGACTAGAGCTTTCTGAGTCTAAAAAGATTTTACATGATCATCAGTAATTGCATAACAAACTACTTAAATTTCACTCTGTTTTTCACATTATCAAATGACTTCACAAGGTACATATTTCAGGCATGAGTCTCTCAGACTCCTCCTGTGATACTTTTATTGGTCTTTTGCGTCTTTTTCAAAGCTCGAAAGCTCCAGTCCTGATTATTTGTAATTGTATAGAAAAACACCTTTGTGTTGCAATTATAATTTTCAGATGAACTATTATGTGAAATAGTCTAATAATCTGTGAACCTGGTGGACACAAAGTTAAACTTTTTCTTTGTATAATGTAGCATGCAGAGCGCCCTGAAGACGTTTGCTGTGGACGAGACCTCTGTGTCCGGCTACATCTATCACAAGCTGCTGGGTCACGAGGTGGAGGACGTTATCATCAAATGCCAGCTGCCCAAACGCTTCACTGCGCAGGGCCTGCCAGACCTCAACCACTCGCAGGTAGAGAGCCCCCTTCCTCTGATTCAGCCCTTCCTCTTTCAGGTTTCTGAGACTCAAGGTGTTTTGGAACAATGTAGGTTTATGCTGTGAAGACGGTGCTGCAGCGACCCCTCAGTCTGATCCAGGGGCCTCCAGGAACCGGCAAGACTGTCACCTCTGCCACCATCGTCTACCATCTGGCCAGACAGGGCAATGGGTGAGACATGTTCCCTCATGACAGTGTTTCCACTTCCATTTCCAGTGCATTTTACAATTTCAGCATGAAATAAAGTTAGTTCATTTATTTACTTGGCTACTATATTGAAGATTTCATATCATATTTCGTTTTAAAATTTCTGTAATAATAGGCTCCTATGATTTCCACAATGTGGAAAACACAGACAGAATCGCATAATCCAGTCATAAACGTGGAATTACCAGTATAACACAGAATATCATGGAATTTGGCAAATTTTAAACGAATAAATCAAAAGTAGAGCTGTACACTTAACTTGTGATATTGACTAGTGTCTGTGAATATTAAAACAGAAAAAAACTACTATTTAAATATAAAGTGATGTTTGGTAAAAATTAGGTTGAAAAAATTTACATTAAAATTACCTATATTATAAAATTAATACTTCATTTTTTTTAAAGATTATCACAGTTTTGGTTGCATGCTTTAATTTAAACCATAAACCTCCTAGTGCTGTTGTGCAATTAATGTTTTATGTTAAAGTTAAATTAATGTTTTATGCCTTTGTGTGATTATCAATGGTTTGAAGTCTGAATTAAATCATAAATAAAAACAGACAATTTTTTTCTATTATTGTACAATTTTTATTTGTTAAAAAAAAAACAGAATTTGAGGAAAATTTATTTCTGACTAATTTCGTAAGGCCCTAAAAATTAAATTTTTATTGAAAATTTAATAAATTGCTGTTAAATTGTGTATACATGTTATGATTTCAATAGTTACACGTGCTTTTTAATTTGTAACATTTAGTTTTAATTTTACCATTAAAACGGATCCAAAATTAATTTTATACAAAAAAAATGATAAAGGAAAAAAACTGAATCTAGGAAGATGTAAAAAGAAAAATGAATTTGGGAGAAATATGGCCCTATAATATCAACTGAGTTTTTGCTTTGTGTCTGTTTGATGGTTTAGTCCGGTGCTGGTTTGTGCTCCGAGTAACATCGCAGTGGATCAGCTGACAGAGAAGATCCATCAGACGGGGCTGAAGGTGGTTCGTCTGTGTGCTAAGAGTCGTGAGGCCATCGATTCCCCCGTGTCTTTCCTGGCTCTGCACAATCAGATCCGCAACATGGACAGGTGCAGACATTTCTGTTCTTAAAGCTCACTGTTGAATGGTGTGCTGAGGTTGGCATCCCTATTATTGTCACTCAGATTTAGGGTTGAGATTTAAAAAAAAATCTTAATCAAGCAATGACTATTTCAATTCAAATGCTTGGCAGCGTGGCAGAGATCTTATGAGGACCGATGTGTGTCTGTCTTTTTTGCAGCATGCCAGAGTTGCAGAAACTGCAGCAGCTGAAGGACGAAACTGGCGAGCTGTCGTCTTCTGACGAGAAACGTTACCGAGCTCTCAAACGAACCGCTGAGAGAGAGCTGCTCATGGTACCTGTCTGACTTCACTTTAAAACACTGATAGACACCAAATGCTGGAATTACACAGCAATGTCAAGCTTTTCTAGTGCATTTTCAGTGTGTTTATTTATATAAACGCTGCAGGCGGTGGAGCACAATAATGCTTAAGCCGTTTTCTTTGGCAAAGGAAATGGGGCATGTTTTGTGTGGTGTGTTTTCCCCTGCAATTAGCACGCACACACAATGTTCTATGAAAAAAGCTGAATTTTTTCCTTTGTACGAATGATCCATCAGCCTACCCGTTACAGAGGCCTGCAAACATCTTGTTATCTCTGTTTCTCAGAATGCAGATGTGATCTGCTGCACATGTGTGGGTGCAGGTGACCCTCGCCTGGCTAAGATGCAGTTCCGCTCCATCCTCATCGATGAGAGCACACAGGCCACGGAGCCCGAGTGCATGGTGCCAGTGGTGCTCGGGGCCAAACAGGTATGTGACGGGCAAATTTTCACACTGTGTATGTTAGCACACAGACTTTACATAATCCAAAGATACCATATTTTCTGGAAAACAAGTCACTTGAATACATGTCACACTGGGTCAAAATTGCATTGCAATTAGTGTATAAGTCATATTTTATTTATACATTCAGAAATAATGTAAATTACTGAAAATAAAACGTGTATTAGTTCCACTCACTCCACAAAAAATTATTATATATTATTATTATTAGGGCTGTAAGTTTAATGCATTAAATTAATTAATTAGTTATGAAAAAATAACACGATTCTAATATTTTAGCGCAGTTCATGCACTGGCCCCGCCCCCAGACCTGTAGGTCATCTTACATTTCATACAGTTGACTGTTGACAAATGATGCAGGGCAACAACTCCATAAATGCAGTTATGCCCTAAAATTCAAGATATTGGGGCAAAAATGCTCCTGTATGAGTTTCTGTCTCATACTTATATCACATGATAAGTGATATCACACGAGCAGTGAGAGCAATATGACACGAGTGCTGTTTTTGTCCCGAATATAATGAGTTCAAATATTGACAATTTAAAAAAAACTAATAATAATGACAAAAACAAACTTTACTAAAACTTTAACTACAATTAAAATGAAAAAAAAAAAACTAGTTCAGAATATTAATAAAAACTATTAATATCTCTATAAATAACATTGTTTTTAATTGTATGCAAAACAAGAATGAAAAATATAAGTATAAAATAGACACATTGTAGTGGTGTTCCTTATAAAAACATTTACTATAAACACCAAGCCTAAAGGAATTTGAAGCGAAACCGAATTACCAGCTTTATAGTAAATGTATATGAATAAACTTGACATTCATTACTTTCCTAACAAGCACAAACTGGATTAAAGTTGAAAGTAAGGAGATAAAAACTGCAACCAATGAGATAAAACGTTGTTTACTCGGCCCTTGTGTTGACTTACATTTATGACCAACATTTTCTACATTCGAAAAACAAAGATCATTAATGGCTTGCAAACAAGTAAAAATATATCTAAACTACAATGTTTTTCTACTTTGCCACATTAAAAGAATATTAAGTTCATTTCATTATAAGCATATACAGCAATTTTTAGTTGTTAAAAAAAGTGACATACTCTGGAAAAGACGGTACTTCAAATTTTGTATACACTGTTCTATGTAATTGTAAATTTTCTGTTTAGTAACTGTACTGTCGTCTCTGTTTGACAGCTGATTCTAGTGGGTGACCACTGTCAGCTGGGTCCTGTGGTCATGTGCAAGAAGGCGGCTAAAGCAGGTCTGTCTCAGTCTCTGTTTGAGAGGCTGGTGGTCCTGGGCATCAGACCCATCCGTCTGCAGGTGCAGTACCGCATGCACCCGGCCCTCAGTGCGTTCCCGTCAAACATCTTCTACGAGGGCTCTCTGCAAAACGGGGTCACCGCCGGTATGTCATCTCAGGTTTATTTATTTTTTTTGCATATAGTTCTATGTAGTTGATATTGCATTACGTTCAGTATAGATAGTTTTGTTTAGTTACATAGACAAAATTTTTGTGTAGCCACATGATGTTCATGATGATGTTCTGTTCTGTTCTCCAGCCGACCGCATCAAGAAAGGCTTTGACTTCCAGTGGCCTCAGCCCGATAAGCCCATGTTTTTCTATGTAACTCAAGGCCAGGAGGAGATCGCAAGCTCTGGCACCTCCTATCTCAACAGGTACATTTGAACGTCATATCCCACTCTCAACACAAATATCTGATGCATATTGTACACGGAATACTTTCTCAAAACAGCAAGACTCAATCTGATAGGTTGGCTTCATACTGTTTCTGGGAGTCAGGGCCAGAGTAGTAAAAAAAACAACAGCAAGTCTATTCCTGTATATATCAATGGTTATATAGGATTTTAAATGTATGCCTCTATACATCACATAAAATGACCTGTTACCACCAAAATGGAGTTTTTTCATTCCTAAAAAGTAATTTTCAACCACAGTAAAGAACACCATCACGATACAGTAATTCTGCCTGAAATCAGAGACTGAAATTAAAGACAAACGTTAAAATCTCTTAATAGAACAAAACCAAAAACATTTAAAGTGCCCCTATTATGGATTTTTGAAAATGACGTTTTATGAAGTGTTTAACACAGCTCTAAGTGAATGAAAACGTCCTGCAAAGTTTTAAATCTGAAAGTGCACCGTGTATAAAGTTATTCTCTCTCAAAAGAAAGAGTCGACTCTGAATCATTGAAACAAGTCGTTTTTAAAACTAATCCCAAGCCATTTTATGTTGACATCAACATGAAACATTAGCATATTGGCCGCCCACTTGTTGGTCTTTTCACGTTGGTCTGAATGAAAATGCAAATTCATTCTTTGCCACTAGGTGTGCTTTTAGAGCAGTAAAAATAGCTGTTTCCCCGGTAATGCAGTACACAAAGCAGCACTGCGCTCACAAACCTGCTTTATCAGGCATCACAGGCGAGATGAAATGAAAATGAGACCAATCAGACCAATCACCGCAGATTAGCGTCACGCAAAGGAGGGGTTTGGAAAAATTAATCGCCAAAATATGAACCTTTCATTACCACTTTAAATCTCTTAAGAGAACAAAACCAAAAACATTTAAATCTTTTAATAGAACAAAACAGACCAACATTTAAATCTCTTAATTGCCTTTGAACATTTAGCCATACCCAAATCACTGCGACACTGATATATGTGCTAGATAACATTATAAATATAATATAGCTAGATCTAGATCTGGAGGATCACTTAAATCGTTGTTTTATATCATCATAACACCCAGCCCAAAAACTTGCTCTATGGTAAAGCACTAAGGCGTTATAGACATAACAGCATGACTTCTCGTAGAGCTGCTTTGAAACCGCATAAATTGTGAAAAAAAGCACTATACAAATAAATTTCTCTAACCTTTTTTGCTTTATATATATATATATATATATGTTTATATATATACGATGTTACGATGGCGCCGACGGTGATGGCTGCCTCCGTGGCGTGCTCCGCAGTTGTTTTTATGTTTTTGTTAGTTTGTCCTGTCTTTTGCTGTTCAGATGCTTCAGGACACACAGATGGGGGAAGCGAGCCGGCGCGCTCGTGAAGCTCAGGCAGCGCTATATTTATGCATTTATATACATATAAAATGTCGGTCAGTTGACCTCTTCTTGTATAAGTGAATTTATGCCATCAGTCAAAAGTCTGGTTATGTGAGACTACTGGAAGAACAGAAACCTTTGAAAATTCATAAGCTTATTCATAAATGCTCCTTACCAGCATTAGATGAAGCTCATTCAAAGGGCCGGTCTGATAAAATCTTCTGTCTGTGTTCAGGACTGAGGCTGCTAATGTGGAGAAGATCACCACCCGTCTGCTGAAGGCCGGAGCCAAACCCGACCAGATCGGCATCATTACACCATACGAGGGCCAGCGCTCTTACCTGGTGCAGTACATGCAGTTCAGCGGCTCACTGCACACCAAACTATACCAGGTACAGAGTCCAAACAACACCTGCAAACATCCCTGCAGACTGATTTCAGCCGTTCTGTTGCATAAGTGTACTCTAGACCAGTGTTTCCCAAACTTTGTTTAGCCGCGGCACCCTTTGGAAATTTTAACAGATTTGTGGCACCCTACAAAATTAATTTAGTCACAATACTTGAATTTCTAACTTTGATATGATACCTTGAAAAGTATAGATATTCGGTACAGCAGGGAAGAACTGCAGAATATAGGCTACTGTAATACAGATATTTTTAATATTATTACATTTTTTGTCCATCAATGGTGGCAATCAGTAGGCTCATTTCTAATGAAGAGACCAATTTATATGACAGATTTTCATGTAGGCTTTTATTTATATGTAAACATTGTTTAATTACCATTGTAACTAGCTATCTCACAAATTTTTGCTCACTCAGTGTATTTTTGATTTTTCAGTGGGGTAATTTTGTTGCAGTAGCACAAGATAGCTTGATTTCAAAATTTGAATTGAATAAAAAATGACAAGTAAGCAGTCAGTAATAAAATAAGAACAAATAAACAAATTACTAATGATAGCACAAAAAATAATAACGATACAAATGAAATAAATTGCTTTTTAGTTTTTCAGGTAGGTCTAACAGTTTTAAGAGTATTAAGTATTAAGAGATTTATTTATTTATTTTTTATTTTTTTTTTACCAATTATATCCAAATAACATTTAGTCCTAGAAAGCTATTATTATCAGAACACGTGAGCATAACATAGTGGTTAGCAGATCAATGAATGAGAGGGCAGCGTTACCAGAGTTGCCCATATACCACACCATGTTACAGCACAGTAGGGCTATTGCAGACAGAAACAATACTGTACTACATCGATGTTTCCTGTCGACTCGATTTTTGAGTGGACTTTGCTGTTCCGATGAGCACGAACGTTATATGAGTGGAGCGAGCGGAGCGCACACGCATAGAGCGGGATAATACGCAGCGCGTCACACCCCGTGAAAGTGAAACCTGAGCAATAGATGCTTTTTTGAAAATTTTAGCAATTTAAAAATCTTAAAAAATGATTTTTTACACGGCACCCCTGCTCTCGACAGACAGCACCCCAGTTAGGAAACACTGCTCTAGACACTCACTGTGGCAATTTAGGGTGTCAAGAAAAGCACATTTTGGTGTAAGATTGTTATTGCTCTAGTACTGGAAGTTTTTAATGGCTGTTGGACATCCAGTATCACACAGCAGCTTGTCAGTGATGTATTGATGCCTCTGTGTATCTACAGGAGGTGGAGATCGCCAGCGTGGATGCGTTCCAGGGCAGAGAGAAGGACTTCATCATCCTGTCTTGTGTCAGGGCTAACGAGCACCAGGGCATCGGCTTCCTGAATGACCCACGACGTCTCAATGTGGCGCTAACCAGAGCCAGGTAACAATAGCAGACTTGGAGTAAGGTGCAGTAATTTATTTCACCTCATTTTACAGTCAGTATCATTCAGGTGTCTGTATGCACGGCAGAGATGCATTTAAACTAACATGTTTAACACAGACAAAATTGCAGATTCCAGTCATAAAAATGGAATTTACTTTATAAAACAGAATGTCACCGAATATGGCGAATTTTGGCAGAATAAATCAAAAATAGGGCTATAAACTTGATCTATTTTTGCGTGTCTCAGTTTCATCTGCTACTCACACTGAAGCACACATATTGCTTGTGGTGTTTTCAGTGTCTGTCGTCTCAATATATGAGGACATGAACACACAAACTTCTCCAGAGCTGCTCTGAGAGTCACTTCACCAGCATTTCACCATTTAATTTGAGAAAAACTATGGTCAGATACACACAAAAACTCAAAGGTCTTCACTACAACCCACCAAAATAAAAGTTTGGTTTTATTTGAAGAAATTATGACAACTACATTTCATATGTTTTGTTATATGACATTAATTATGTTTTGTAGAGTATATGTGCTTCTTTAAGTAGTAATAAAGAATAATGTATTTCATTACATATTTATTAAAAATCACAACATTTTATTCATGTTTTAATTTAAAAGGTAAACCTTTTTTGTGCAGCACTTTGTCAACAAATAAAATGAAATGTTCATTTGATTAAAAAAAAAAAAAAATGAATTAAATCATTTAAATTAAATTTGATTGTCTCTAATAATACATTTGCTTTTAATTGCAAAACATAAAACCCAGAAAAAGTAAAACAGACAACAGAATTTCTTAGATGACACATTTCATAGGGCAATATTATTGCTAAAATTTAAATAAATTGTAACATTTTTATGAATTAAATTTATTAGACATGCTTTTTGGTTATTAACATGTAATTAAGTTATTAAAATGGAATACAGAAAAATTTAAATGGAAAACAGAATTTGGGGGGGAAAATTTGTATTTTTGCAAAACATTATGTATATACATTGTATATTATGTATTTTTGCACACAAAAAAACTGATTTACAGTATGTTTTCCTTCAAGTCAAATGTGTGAATAAATAACAAATGTAGGTGGATAGCTCTAGTCATATGCTCAAATGTGTGTGTATGTGTGCAGATATGGCGTGATCATTGTGGGCAATCCTAAGGCTCTGTCCAAGCAGCCGCTGTGGAACCACCTGCTGAACTACTACAAGGAGCAGAAGGTTCTGGTGGAAGGACCGCTGAACAACCTGAGAGAGAGCCTCATGCAGTTCAGCAAACCACGCAAGCTGGTCAACACCATCAACCCTGTGAGTAACACACACACAAATCAGGGTTACTTCTGGCGCAGAAATAGTCTTTTCATGCTTTTTGTGCATGAAAAGCTGGTTAATTACAATTGCATTTATTACAGTATGCATTATTAGTGCTTGTATGCATCTATAACATTATATTCACCATCAAGGTAACAAAGAAGTTTCAAATAAGGAAAAAAAAACACAAGTCAAAATACTTCTGCTAATAATGGAAATTGTGTTTCAGGGAGCCCGTTTCATGAGTACCGCCATGTATGACGCGAGAGAGGCCATGATTCCTGGATCTGTGTATGATCGCAGCGGCACTGGTGAGAAAACAATCACATACTACTTCTCACATCTCAATACAATGCAGTTGCAGTGGATTAGTTCTAATTTAGTTTCTTATTTACAAATAAAATTCTTATTTGGTATTTTTCTTGTTGATCAACATGATCAAACTAATTTAATTGGTTAGTTTAAGCATCAACCAAAAGAATCCAGTGTTATTCTGGTAACGTTAACTAAAACTGAAACCATAAAAAAGTCACTTGGAAAAAAAAAACAAACAAAGTAATTGAAATAAAATATGAAAAAGGTCAACTTATTTAAAACTAAATAAACTAAAACTAATAAATAAAAATGAATAAAGACGAAACTAAATTTACTAAATTTAAAACAAAAATAAATAAAAATGACGAGAAAACAAACAAAATAAAAATGATATAACTATATTTTATATACAATTTTTAACGTAAATATAAAAATATAATCTAATTCAAAATATGAACAAAAATTGTAATAGTATACCATTTATAATCAAATAACACCGTTGTTTAATGATGAGCTGCTTTTGAAATGCTTATTTGTGGAAAAATATATATTTAATTTGTCACTGCTTGTCTGTCTTTACAGGGCGTCCGTCTAATATGTACTTCCAGACCCATGACCAGGTCGGCATGATCGGGTCTGGGGCGAACCCAATGGGCTCCATGAACATCCCCATCCCGTTCAATCTGGTCATGCCTCCCATGCCTCCGCCTGGGTACCTGGGCCAGGTGAACGGACCTGCTGCTGGTGAGAGAAAACTCCAGAAAACTAAACTACTGCTTTTTGAACAAGAAACCTTGACTAGCATTACTTTTTGTTGCAGCATTTTGTATTGCCTTTTTCTAGCTACTAGGGCTGGGCGATATGGGCAAAAATTCATATCTCTGTATTTTTTGGCCGATTTGAGATGTACGGTATATATCTCAGTATTTTCGTTTTTGTATCTGGATGTTTTTTTATCTGTATTTAATATATATTTTACATACTGCTCAATGTTGTTCAATGAAACAGTGCATGTTAAATGCTATGAAAACTAATAAAGTGAATGTAACAATGTAAGCCTATATATTATGTGCAAAAAAGGGTCAAAATCACATTTTATTCTAGCATTGTAACATTACAATCTAAAAACAAAAATAATGCTTTTAAAGCAGGAGTTAAATTCACTAAACTAAAAATGAAAATAAATAAGAGCAAAAGCACAGACTTGTATTAGGCTATTTTGATTAACTAATTACAGTCACTTTACAGTCAGTGCTATCTTAAAAATACATTTACTTGTAGGTTTAAAATTCTACATATCACATTGTCCAACTACAAATATTTCAGCAAAATATATATTTTAGTCTGAATTATTGTGCTCTGTCTGTTTGATGCACATGTGCACGGCGGCGCCCGTTCACTGAAGTCTGTGAAGTTTATCTATTTATACACCATCTCAAAGCTGAATAAATAATCTTTCTATTGATGTATGGTTTGTTAGGATAGGACAATATTTAGGCCGGGATACAACTATTTGAATATCTGGAATCTGAGGGTGCAAAAAAATCTAAATATTGAGAAATTCACCTTTAAAGTTGTCCAAATGAAGTTCTTAGCAATGCATATTACTAATCAAAAATTAAGTTTTGATATATTTACGGTAGGAAATTTACAAAATGTCTTTATGGAAAATGATCTTTACTTAATATCCTGATGATTTTTGGCATAAAAGAAAAATCAATAATTTTGACCCATACAATGTAATTTTGGCTATTGCTACAAATATACCCCAGCGACTTAAGACTGGTTTTGTGATCCAGGGTCACATATCGTAATAACTCGATATACCACCCAGCCCTATTAGCTACTTTTAAAGAGATATAGAAAAAAGCTATGGATGGAGTGACAAGAGGTGAAGCAGAACTGAATCAAGAATACGATATTAATCGGTTCTCTGTCTGTTTACAGGTCGTGGTGCTCCTAAAGGTAAGACCGGGGGTCGTGGAGGTCGTCAGAGGAACCGTGGCACTGGTAATCACGGCAGCGGGCAGGCCAACATGCCAGGCAGCCAGGCCAGTCAGGACCTGGTGTCCCAGCCCTTCTCTCAGGGTCCACTGACCCAGGGCTACATCACCATGAGCCAGCCGTCACAGATGAGCCAGCCTGGACTGTCCCAGCCTGAGCTCTCACAGGTACACATGCTCACATTTGTGTGGGATGTTCATGCTTTTATACGAGATATAAGCCTCTTGAGTCTGTGTTAAAGTGACCTTGTTTTGTTAATTCTGTAGTTTTGCATATTGTTTTTGTCTTTTGTGTGAAACAGGACAGCTACCTGGGTGATGAGTTCAAATCCCAGATGGACGTGGCGCTTTCCCAGGATTCCACCTACCAGGGCGAACGGGCATATCAACACGGAGTGACTGGACTCTCACAGTACTAGAGTGTAAGACGACACACACGCATCTTAAAAGACCAAGCATACACTACTGAGTCAGATATGCATTTTTAAAGAAATTAATACATTTATTCTGTAAGGGCGCATTAAATTCATCAAAAGTGACAGTAAAGACAATGTTTCAAAAGATAAATTATGTTCTTTTGAACTTTCTATTTCATCTGTGAATCCTGAAAAATAAAATGTATCTCGGTTTCCACAAAAATATTGGGCAGCACAACTGTTTTCAGCATTGATAATAATCAGAAATGTTTCTTGAGCAGCAAAGCAGCATATTAGAATGATTTCTGAAGATCATGTGACTGGAGTAATGATGCTGAAAATTCAGCTGCGCATCACAGAAATAAATTACATTTTATAATGTATTCAAATTGAAAAGTTGTAAAAAAATATTTCATGATATTACTGTTTTTACTGATTTTTTGATCAAATAAATGCAGTCCTGGTGAGCAGAAGAGCCTTCTTTCAAACATTAAAAAATCTTACCGATGCCAAACTTATTTGAACTGTACTGTACATTCATTTACTAATCTGGTTAGTGTAATTGATGCCTATATAGCAGACACCCAAAATGCAATGAGTTTTATCTGTGCTGTTTCTTTTTTTATGTATGTAAAACTAGCAAATAAAAATTAATATAATAAATAGGCATCAAAATATAATACTATAACATTCTATTAAATTAATCATAAATTAAAACAGTAATAAAAATGAAAGAAAACAATGAAGTTATTAAAACTTTAACTAAAATTAAATTAAAAACAAAATATAAAAATAAAATTAAAACTATTAAATTATTCAATTAATAAGAAATTAAAACAAGAATAAAAATGAAAAAAGCACAACAACATTTCTAAAACCTTCACTAAAATTAAATAAAAAACAAACAAATAAATTGAAATCTTTCTCCGTGGAGCCCATTTTGCAAACCTGATGTTTTTGGGTTTTTTTCTCCATTTTAAAAACAGTAGCTAATTATGTTTACAGTAACATCTTTGTGTTTTTATTCTGATCCATTTTGCTCATTGGTCTAGCTGTTTATGAATGGAAAAACACCTCATGTGTTCGGATTTCTCTGTCTGTGTTCGCAGGTTGTTGGAACAGGAGCTAGGCCTGTGCTGAGCTTAGTGCATCAGCATTTTAAATATGGGTAAATATAAAAAAAGAACAAACATGGATGCCCGTTTACCACTGTTACAACTGAAGCACCATGGTGTGAGAGCAACAGGAGAGAATCAAACCAATCACAGGAGGGAGTGAAGCTGGACAGGACGAAAGAGAACGTGTGAGTGGCGGACTACATCCACCATTCGTTGAGAACGGGGAGGAGAGGGGAGACGCAGTGTTAGGAGGAGACCAAACACGAGATCTTCGATCTGCAACTCCGCAATGTGGAGGAGGCTCCTGGAGCGCAGGGGCCCTTCCCGGCCTCCTCTCTCTCTCGCCTGGCTGCCGATGTCAGCCTCAGGCCTTGCCCTGCCAACAGAGACGGAGCCAAGATGAAGTTCTCTTAAAACTACCTGCAAAAACCACGCTTGCTCTGTCGTCTCCATGAGCTGAGAGAGGGGGTGACGTATTTCAAGTAATTATAAACGCTTTTCGAGCAGCTGATTTTCAGGAAAGTAGAGTTCCCCTCAAAGTTGACATCTGACATTCAGGTTCTACCACAGCACATCTTTGAGAGAACGGACGCCTGCGGCAAGAGTTTTCGCGTTTTGTTTCGGAGCGCCTCTTGTCTCCAACCCGAGGTGCTAGGACACTCTGAAGGACGATTCAACTTTGAGGAAAGTTTTCCGCCTTAAGTCCGGGAGGGTAGAGGTGCCGTAACAAATGGAGGGCCCGTCGCATCTCGTCTGCTCTCCGCTAGGTGATTAGGGGTAGAAATGGCTTTGGGATGTTTCTTTTTCCTTTTAAATGTTTTGTCCCTTGCCGAAGGGACTGACGGATCTATCCTTTCTTACTTTCCTCTTTGTTTTAAAATGGTTTTTGTTCGACTAGAATAAAAGCAGTCAAGTAGAACCGCTCGATTTAGCTTGCTTGATTTAGATGTGGCTTAAAAATCAATCCAAATCACCGTGATCTGTGGGTCAGGAATGTCGTCAAAATCGGGTGAAACTTGTTCATCTGGGTCTGTTCGATGTAACATGTCAATTACGGCAAACTCCTCCCACTGCTATTCTGTCCAATCAGGTGAAACTTGCTTGTCTGAAGCTGTTCGATTTGATATGAGACAAATATGTCAATCACAGTAAACCCCTCCCACTGCTATTCTGTCCAATCAGGTGAAACTTGCTTGTCTGAAGCTGTTCGATTTGATATGAGACAAATATGTCAATCACAGTAAACCCCTCCCACTGCTATTCTGTCCAATCAGGTGAAACTTGCTTGTCTGAAGCTGTTCGATTTGATATGAGACAAATATGTCAATCACAGTAAACCCCTCCCACTGCTATTCTGTCCAATCAGGTGAAACTTGCTTGTCTGAAGCTGTTCGATTTGATATGAGACAAATATGTCAATCACAGTAAACCCCTCCCACTGCTATTCTGTCCAATCAGGTGAAACTTGCTTGTCTGAAGCTGTTCGATTTGATATGAGACAAATATGTCAATCACAGTAAACCCCTCCCACTGCTATTCTGTCCAATCAGGTGAAACTTGCTTGTCTGAAGCTGTTCGATTTGATATGAGACAAATATGTCAATCACAGTAAACCCCTCCCACTGCTATTCTGTCCAATCAGGTGAAACTTGCTTGTCTGAAGCTGTTCGATTTGATATGAGACAAATATGTCAATCACAGTAAACCCCTCCCACTGCTATTCTGTCCAATCAGGTGAAACTTGCTTGTCTGAAGCTGTTCGATTTGATATGAGACAAATATGTCAATCACAGTAAACCCCTCCCACTGCTATTCTGTCCAATCAGGTGAAACTTGCTTGTCTGAAGCTGTTCGATTTGATATGAGACAAATATGTCAATCACAGTAAACCCCTCCCACTGCTATTCTGTCCAATCAGGTGAAACTTGCTTGTCTGAAGCTGTTCGATTTGATATGAGACAAATATGTCAATCACAGTAAACCCCTCCCACTGCTATTCTGTCCAATCAGGTGAAACTTGCTTGTCTGAAGCTGTTCGATTTGATATGAGACAAATATGTCAATCACAGTAAACCCCTCCCACTGCTATTCTGTCCAATCAGGTGAAACTTGCTTGTCTGAAGCTGTTCGATTTGATATGAGACAAATATGTCAATCACAGTAAACCCCTCCCACTGCTATTCTGTCCAATCAGGTGAAACTTGCTTGTCTGAAGCTGTTCGATTTGATATGAGACAAATATGTCAATCACAGTAAACCCCTCCCACTGCTATTCTGTCCAATCAGGTGAAACTTGCTTGTCTGAAGCTGTTCGATTTGATATGAGACAAATATGTCAATCACAGTAAACCCCTCCCACTGCTATTCTGTCCAATCAGGTGAAACTTGCTTGTCTGAAGCTGTTCGATTTGATATGAGACAAATATGTCAATCACAGTAAACCCCTCCCACTGCTATTCTGTCCAATCAGGTGAAACTTGCTTGTCTGAAGCTGTTCGATTTGATATGAGACAAATATGTCAATCACAGTAAACCCCTCCCACTGCTATTCTGTCCAAGTGAGAGCAACAGGAGAGAATCAAACCAATCACAGGAGGGAGTGAAGCTGGACAGGACGAAAGAGAACGTGTGAGTGGCGGACTACATCCACCATTCGTTGAGAACGGGGAGGAGAGGGGAGACGCAGTGTTAGGAGGAGACCAAACACGAGATCTTCGATCTGCAACTCCGCAATGTGGAGGAGGCTCCTGGAGCGCAGGGGCCCTTCCCGGCCTCCTCTCTCTCTCGCCTGGCTGCCGATGTCAGCCTCAGGCCTTGCCCTGCCAACAGAGACGGAGCCAAGATGAAGTTCTCTTAAAACTACCTGCAAAAACCACGCTTGCTCTGTCGTCTCCATGAGCTGAGAGAGGGGGTGACGTATTTCAAGTAATTATAAACGCTTTTCGAGCAGCTGATTTTCAGGAAAGTAGAGTTCCCCTCAAAGTTGACATCTGACATTCAGGTTCTACCACAGCACATCTTTGAGAGAACGGACGCCTGCGGCAAGAGTTTTCGCGTTTTGTTTCGGAGCGCCTCTTGTCTCCAACCCGAGGTGCTAGGACACTCTGAAGGACGATTCAACTTTGAGGAACGTTTTCCGCCTGAAGTCCGGGAGGGTAGAGGTGCCGCGTCGAACGGAGGGCCCGTCACATCTCATCCGCTCTCCGCTAGGTGATTTGGGGTAGAAATGGCTTTGGGATGTTTAAAAATTCCTTTTAAGTGTTCTGTCCTTTGCCGAGGGACCGACGGATCTATCCTTTCTTATTTTCCTCTGTTTTAAAATGTTTTTTGTTCAACTAGAATAAAAGCAGTGAAGTAAAACCGCTTGCTTGATTTAGATGTGGCTTCAAAATCGATCCAAACCACCGGGATCTGTGGGTCAGGAGTGTCTAAATCAGGTGAAACTCGTTCATCTGGGTCTGTTCGATTTGATGTGTCAATCAAAGCAAACTCCTCCCACTGTCCAATCAGGTGAAACGCGATCATCTTAATCTGAGACAAATGAGTCAATCACAGTAAACCCCTCCCACTGCTATTCTGTCCAATCAGGTGAAACTTGCTTGTCTGAAGCTGTTCGATTTGATATGAGACAAATATGTCAATCACAGTAAACCCCTCCCACTGCTATTCTGTCCAATCAGGTGAAACTTGCTTGTCTGAAGCTGTTCGATTTGATATGAGACAAATATGTCAATCACAGTAAACCCCTCCCACTGCTATTCTGTCCAATCAGGTGAAACTTGCTTGTCTGAAGCTGTTCGATTTGATATGAGACAAATATGTCAATCACAGTAAACCCCTCCCACTGCTATTCTGTCCAATCAGGACGCAGTCATATTATCGTTGTGCCCGAATCGCTTTAGTTGCGCCTCAGAGAAAGCAGGAGATCGCCGTACCTATGTGAAGCACAGACAGGTGAGATTCTCGCTGTTTTTGTGTCTGACCGTAAGAGGCTCGTCTTGCGCTCTTGCGTTATTATGATGATGATGATGATGATGATGATGATGATGATGATGATGATGATGATGTCAGTGAGAGCGGGCGGTTTTACGCCGCCAACAGGTGTGTGTGTGTGTTTGTGTGTTTTCAGAATGCCCTCCTTCATTATTATTTGTGTTGTGATAGATTGTAGTTTTGTTTTCTCCCCCATACTAGTTGCTTTTCCCCCTCTTTTTAGTAGCTCACAGTTTATCTGACGTGAAGTTCTCGTAACCTCTCTCAGTGTGGAAATTGCTCGAGTTAATTTGGTTTCGACGGACCCATTCAGTTTTACGGCAGCTTTTAACATCTGTTCCGACCGATGCTAGTCGCCTCAACTTTGTACTTTTACTTTGGAGTGTTTATACCTTGCTGTTACTTCATACTCGCAGCTCTTTTGACTGTTTGATATTACCCACCACCACTCGCATTTTATAGCATCGAGCACAGATTAGTTTTAAGTTCACATCCTTCGCTTTCTCTTTTTTCCTTTGCCCACAAGACAATCATGATTCGTTTATAACCGAGGTCGCAGAAATGTCGATGCGACTTTTTCATGTTAACCTCTCGTTTTAGAATGAACTCATTCTCTGAAATTCCTGTATACAGTTTAGTTTTCACCTTTCATACTTCAACTGTAAATATCAGTGCTCAGATTTGATACGACGTCAGCCAAACTGTTGCCAATGACAATGAGATGCTAACATCCACAACAAGGCCAAGGTGATCCACAGCGATGCATTCTTGTTTTAATCGAGTATGAAGAGGTTCTGCTGCGAAAATTGCATCAAATTTGACTGAAATGTACAATACATTTATATGCTTTAACTTGCAATGAAGAGGAACACTGGAGAAACAACAGGATATGAAGTATAATTCAGGATTTTGTTTTGTGGAAAAAGTTTTCACCCCCACAATATGTACTTGTAACGTTATGAATAAATGTTGCTTTCTTTCACCCAATGCAGTTCTCAGTTCTTCATCGTCTTGTGTATGATGTATAATGCAGCTTAGATATTGAATTTTTGTCCTTTTTTTGTTTATGTACACATTTTTGAGCTTGTAAATGGAAGCTTGTTTCTGCCACATAATAAATTCATTCAAAGTTATGATTGCAATTTGCAGTTCTGATTTCTGTCAGAATTGCAAGAAACGTTAAAAATCAAAAAATCAAAACTCTTTTCTTGCACTTCCAAGTTTGCTTTGTGCATTGTATTGACTTTTTTTTCCTCTGGATTCTGAGTTTATATTTTGCAATTTTTTTTTCTGCCACGGAATAAAAAAAAAAAAAGGTAATTGTGGCTTTTGTCTGGCAATTCAGACTTTTTTTTTCTCAGAATTGCAAGAAAAGGTGGATTGTGAGATGTCACAATTACCTTAATTTTTCATCCTGTGGCAGAAACAAGCTTCCATTGCATTTTTAACCTGGTGTATGCTAGATTACAGTAAGGGAGCACACTTCATGTGTTGACTTTTTCACAACCTGATTTCTGTGGTCTCAAGTGAAAATGACAAAAGGCTTTGCTCAATGCAAATTGCATGCCAAAGTCTGTTCAGATTTGAGTGAAAGTGACGTGTGGCCAAGTATGGTGACCCATACTCGGAATTAGTGCTCTGCATTTATCCCATCCAAAGTGCACACACACAGCAGTGAACACACACACACCCGGAGCAGTGCCCGCAACCTTTGGGTTACGAGTCCAATTCTCTAACCATTAGGCCACGACTTCCCGTTAATGATGTGTACTAGCCTTAATAAAGAAGGAATGTTAAATCAATACAGTAAGAACTTGCGTTTTTCCAAAGTAACATTAATTTGTATTAATTGCAGAAACTCCCTGCTGCAATGTGTCATCCTCTTTAGTGATAGAGCAGGTCTGATGTGGCGTTTTCATCAATCACACATAAAACCTAAAAATCTGAAAAATACTGTTTCTATTACCATAACACCATAGACAGTACAAATGTAGTTTTTTTTTTACCCGTTTAAATGAGTTTTTAAAAAAAGAACATGTATAAGTTCATTTGCAAAAACGGATAACTGTTTTTAACAATTTTCAAAAATCATGTGTTTTCATTGTGCGTTCCAATTAATCTCAGTCAAACTGCAGTTGGGTTATTTTGCTTGGGTAAAAAATAACGAAAAAATACTAACACAATAAAAAACATGATTTTTTTAAAATAAAAAAAAAAACAGTTATCTTTTTTTTGCAAATAAACTTCATATATATATATATATATACACACACACACACACACACACACACACACACACAGAGTGCATTCAGAAAGTATTCCGTTAAATCAAATTTTATGTTGCAGCCTGATACTACGCTTGGTTAAATTAAATTTTTTTCTCATTAATCTACACTCTGTACCTCATAATCACAAAGTGAAAACAGAATTTTAGAAATGTCTGTACATTTATTAAAAATAAAAAAACTGAAATATCACATTTACATAAGTATTCACCCTTTGCAACAACACTTAAAATTGATCTCAGGTGCCTCCCATTTCTCTTGATCATTGCTGAGATGTTTCTACACCTTGATTGTGATTGGAGTCCATCTGTGGTTAAACAAATGGATTGAACATGATTTGGAAAGGCACACACACATGATATAAAAGGCCTCACAGCTGACAATACATATTAGGGCAAAAACCAAGTCATGAGTAGGTATGTGATTTTTCTGTATAAATATGGATTTCCATATTTTCTGACCTCTGAGGGACGATCCGTGTAGATCTGAGTTGTTGTTTTTTTTTTTTAAACGAGCCATTTCCACAAAATATGAAGCCGCAAAATTGTTCTGAACATTGATAATAATCAGAAATGTTTCTTGAGTCATATAAATTGTAATGATTTCTAAAAGATCATGTGACACTGAAAACTGGAGTAATGATGAAGAAAATTCTGCTTTGCATCACAGGAATAACATTACATTTTATAATATATTAAAATTGAAAACTTTTTTAAAATTTGTAATATTTAACAATATTGTTTTGTTTTTTTAACTTTTTGATCAAATAAATTCAGCCTTGATGAGCAGAAGGTATTTTGCAAAATCATTAATAATTGTAATGTTTCCAAACTTTTGGCAGGTACTTTAATAATAACAATTCTATATACTTTACTATAATATATTATAGTTTATTATATCATACTGTTATCATGATTATTAAATGCTGCTTTTTATTTTTTACAGGACAATAGTATGTATTACAATATAAGATATATCTTTTAATGTGCTAAAATATATATTTTTCATAATAAGTGCTGGGGGCGTGGCTTGTGGGCGTGGTCAAATGTTCCTTTTTTTTGTTGGTGTCTAGCTGATCACATGCCTGCATGAGGTCAAAGGAACTGCCTGCAGAGCTCAGAGACAGGATTGTATCTTTGCACAGATCTGGGGAAGACTATAAAAAAAATTCTGCTGCACTAAAGGTTCCCAAGAGCACAGTGGCTTCCATAATTCTCAAATGGAAGAAGGTTGGCACAACCAGGACTCTTCCAAGAGCTGGTCGTCCAGCCAAACTGAGCAATCGATGGAGAAGGGCCTTGTCTAGACTGGTGGCCAAGAAGCTGATGGTCACTCTAGTTGAGCTCCATGATCATATATGCAGATGGGAGAAACCTACAGAAGGACAAACATCACTGCAACACTCCACCGATCTGCCAAGAAGCTGATGGTCACTCTAGTTGAGCTCCATGATTATATATGCAGATGGAAGAAACCTACAGAAGGACAAACATCACGGCAACACTCCACCGATCTGGGCTTTATGGCGGTGTGGCCAAACTCAATCCTCTCCTCAGTGAAGACGCATGAAAACACGCTTGGAATTTGCAAAAAAGCACCTAAAGGACCCTCAGACTCTGAGAAACAAGAGTCTCTGGTCTGATGAACTTCAATTCTAATCATCGTGGTTGAAGGAAACCAGCTCCGCTCATCACCTGCAGAGTAGCATCCCAAAAGTAAAGTGTGCTGGTAGCAGCCTCATGCTGTGGAGCTGTTTTTCAGCAGCAGGGACTCAGGGACTCGTCAGAGTAGAAGAAAACTCAATGCATCAAAATATTGAGTTAGCCTTAATGAAAACCCAGTCCAGAGCATACAGAACCTAAGACCGGGCCGAAGGGTCACCTTCCAACAGGACAATGACCCTAAGCACACAGCAAGAGTATGCTTCAACTAAGTACTGAGTACTGAATACTTATGTGAATGTGATTATTTCAGGGTTTTTCTAAAATTGTTTTCACTTTGTCATTATGAGGTACGAAGTGTAGATTAATGAGAAAAAAATGAATTTAAACATTTGTAGTATCAGGCTGCAACATAAAATTGGAAGAAAAAAAAAAGTGAAGGGAGTCTGAATACTTTCTGAATGCACTGTGTGTGTATATATGTACAGAATGTAAAAGTCATGAAAAAGTTCATTGGCCATTGTTAGAAAAAAAAACGTGTGTGTGTGTGTGTGTTTCTAACAATGGCCACATTTTTTAATCTACATTACATTCTGAATTCATTTTTACCTTACAAACAATGACGACATCTCTTAACATATGTGACCAAATTAATATCGAAATCACAATATGTCCAAAAAAGCATGGTAACGCCATTGTGTTACTGCACTTAGTGAGGACGGTTTGTAGTGTCTCATTGGGTTTACATCAGCACAAATGTCTGTATGATGAACGGATCTTCGCTCTCTAATCACTAGAGTGCGAGAGGCGCCGCAATGATGCTGCAGCTCCGCTTCTGTCCGCTGGATGGCGCGCGAGTCTCTTCAAAACCCCGCCGCGGCGGGACATCAAAGCCAAACTGGTTACAAAGTAACAGTCGCGGCGCGTCATCAAAGTCGTTGCGGGAAGCATCAGAACGCGGAGCCTGACAGCCGGCGGGCTTTCCCGCGAGTCCGCGCTCTTACTGAACTACAGCAAAGACAACCGCGGGGAAAAGAGGAACTGACCCGGTCATCACGTCCAGTTTCTGCGGCTGCTGCTGGTGCATTCGCGGGCTGCATGCACATATATGCCATGTTCACTGTATAGAAAGACTCCAGACGCGGATTACCGATCCCACAGATCCTACAGATCCTACAGAACCCACAGGTCCTACAGGCTGTAAACAGTTGCTCCAGAACAGGAACATGGGGTAAGAGTCTCTGCTCTGTCCTAGTCTCATTCATAGGAACTAAAGAGACTTTGAGCGAAACTGAAGCCAGAAGAACTTACCAGAGCACTTAAAAGGAGTTAATTACTGCAGGTATGCTACAATAAAGACTTTAGATGTCATTAGTCTATCTGAAAACTGTTTGTATGCTTCGAAGCGAATATGTATTTATTTAGGACAGTCCCTCGTGAGTAACCTGTGGAGATAGTCTTTGTGTATTTGACACAGTATGATATGCTATAATGCATGTAAGCAACATTCTTTAATATGATTGCATACAAATGGTCATTATACATGCAGTTTTTTCCAACTCGTTTTAAAAGTGACCTGCAAGAAAGCTAAAAGGTGGTTTAACTGCATGGTGACCAGAAACACACTGCATTTTAACTTGCATTTAACATCTAGATCTTGATGTAGAAAATCAAGTTCACGGACATGTTTGTCAACTACATTTCTTTGTATTTCTTAATTATTTTTATGTAACAATAAATAAATGCATAAACACATTTTATTAAATAAAAATAAAGAATATTTATATTTAATTATTATTTGCATAATTTATATTTAGTTATAGATGTTTAGGTTTTGCTTAATGAGATTATTTCATGATCAAGAAGACAACAACCACAACCTTGACCTAAATATGCCATTAATTTTCTCAATATTTTCAATGTATATTTAAACTGTATTTGTTCGGGTGGATGAATGTTTTTCGTTTTTTCTTTCTCTCATTTCTAATGGCAGAAAAAGACCCTCATCTGTCCAGTAAGAATGTTTCCGTTGCACAGAGAGAGGTAAGTCATGATTTAATGTCTTTATCAGATCCTGAGAGAGACCCTCGAACGAGGTGTTTTTTTTAATAAATAAACCAATATTTGGGCCACATCTGATTAATTAATCCATTTTTAATATGATCGCTAACAACAATTTTAAAGAATCTCCTGGCAGCCCTTATTTTTAATTAATACATTTATTAAATTAATAATTGAATAAATCATCATTATTTTTATAGTGCATTATATAATACAGATTGTTGCAAAGCAGCACAGAGAAATGCATTTATAAAAAAATCGCTGTAAAATGGACAAAGCACCTGATGACCCATTTATCCTGTTCTTAGTAGGACACATTATACAGGAATTATGACTGTATAGACGAAGGGATACTGTATTAATCCCTTGTAGAAATGACACCCAACATGAAAAAAGGTTGTGGGATATTGTTTATGAAACAGCCAGCATTGTGGTTTTTTTTAGTTGCCATGACGACTGTACAATATATGTTCTGCGGCATCTCAAGTGTCCATCTCAGTGTGCTGGATGCTTTATGGATTATCATAAAGCTGTTTTGACCATCAGGAGGCCTGTAATGGGTTAAATCAGTAGAGTAGTGATGGTGCAGTTAATTAGTTCAGCAGCGGTAAGGTGTGATGCTGTCGGGTCAGAACACGCCTGGCCTAATTTCTACATTCTAACTGGATTGTCCCTTAAACGATCCCTCTTTGGTTTAAAGGAATAGTTCACCCAAAAATGAACATTTGCGAAAATGTGCTCACCCTCAGACCATCCAAGATGTAGATGAGTTTGTTTCTTCATCAGATTTGGAGAAATGTAGCATTACATCAGTGTCTCAGCAATGGATGCTCTGCAGTGAATGGGTGCCGTCAGAATGAGAGTCCAAACAGCTGATAAAAACATCACAATAATCCACAAGTAATCCACACCACTCCAGTCCATCAGTTAATGTCTTTAGAAGTGAAAAGCTGAGTGGTGTGGATTACTTGTGGATTATTGTGATGTTTTTATCAGCTGTTTGGACTCTCATTCTGACGGCACCCATTCACTGCAGAGCATCCATTGCTGAGACACTGATGCAATGCTACATTTCTCCAAATCTGATGAAGATACAAACTCATCTTGGTTGGCCTGAGGATTAGCAAATTTTCATTTTTGAGTGAATAGTTCTTTTAAATTTCATTATATGAAATTATATCTCCATGTTCGTTAAGCACAGGGAAAGATTATGTGTTGATTTAGTGTCTTTCTGTATATACTACATATAGAATAAAGATGCAGTACAAGGTTAATTTCCTAGTAATTGCCTCGTTGTATAAACAAATCTGGAAAAAGGCAATTAGAGCTGAAATGCAAATGGACAGCTCGAGGGTTCAGTGATCTCTAAACACACACACACACACACACACACACACACACTCCAGTGTAGAATATAACAGTGAGCAGCTAATGGTCTCTTGGCCGTTAGACTTGTGTTTAGAGACCGCGCAGAGGTTACTTCTGGTTAACATAGATTTATTTTTCTAGTCAGCTGCATTGCTGCAAGGTTAACATGAAATTGCATTTAGAACCCATTTTATTGGCATTATGTGATGTCAGGTGAATCGGAATATTTAATGATTCTATTCATCAGGAATTGAGGTGATGGTGTAAAGTTTGGGTTTGGTAAAAAAAAATGTATTTATTTTTTTTAAAGAAATCTCTTCTGCTCACCAAGGCTGAATTTATTTGATCAAATATACAGTAAAATTGTGGAATATTATTATAATTTAAATTAACTGTTTTCTATGTGAATATGTTAAAATGTAATTGATTGCTGAATTTTCAGCATCATGACTCCAGTCTTCAGTGTCACGTGATCTTCAGAAATCATTCTAATATGCTGATTTGCTGCTCGAGAAACATTTCTGATTATTATCAATGTTGAAAACAGTCGTGCTGCCCAATATTTTTGTGGAAACTGTGATACGGTTTATTTTTCAGGATTCACAGATGAATAGAAAGATCAAAAGAATGGAATTTATTTGAAAGATAAATCTTTTGCAACATTATAAATGTCTTTACTGTCACTTTTGATTGAAATCTCTTCTGCTCACCAAGGCTGAATTTATTTGATCAAATATACAGTAAAATTGTGGAATATTATTATAATTTAAATTAACTGTTTTCTATGTGAATATGTTAAAATGTAATTGATTGCTGAATTTTCAGCATCATGACTCCAGTCTTCAGTGTCACGTGATCTTCAGAAATCATTCTAATATGCTGATTTGCTGCTCAAGAAACATTTCTGATTATTATCAATGTTGAAAACAGTCATGCTGCCCAATATTTTTGTGGAAACTGTGATACGTTTTATTTTTCAGGATTCACAGACGAATAGAAAGATCAAAAGAATGGAATTTATTTGAAAGAGAAATCTTTTGCAACATTATAAATGTCTTTACTGTCACTTTTGATTAATTTAATGCAATTTAAAATTAATAAAAGTATAAAATTTATTTTAAAAATGTTACTGACTCCAAATTTTTGAACAGTAGCATAGTGTATAACAGTAATGCTCAAGATTCATTAGCACACACTATTCTAAAGGGAAATATAGTTGTATGTTGATATGAGCAGAAATGTGTATGAAACTGTCTGCAACACATTTGTTGAAGCAATGCAAACCGCATTGATGGATTGCAGATGAAGGTCTGAGACGTGTGTGTAGTCGCTCTGGTGTTTGGTTGAGCTTGATCTGGCTCTCGGTGCAGTTGGTTTCCCGCTGAAAGTCATTAGCGGCGGTCGATCTCTGGCGCTGGATAGTTTACAGGCCCTCGGCTCGTCACTGAGCACCTCGCAATCAGCTCAGGGTGAGTAACTGACAGATGAAGGAGCTGCGCTGATCACAGCGGGACCTGTGACGAGTGAAGCCAGGAGACTTACCCCATGGAATTCTGGGAATTTAGGCCAGGCTATAAGAAGCGCGGTGGCGTCCAGAAGACCAAGACGAGGAAAGTGAGCTGCTGGTCGGAGTGTGTGTGTGTGTGTGTGTGTGTGTGAGTGAGAGAGAGTGTGTGTGTGTGAGTGAGAGAGAGTGTGTGTGTGTGAGTGAGAGAGAGTGTGTGTGTGTGAGTGAGAGAGAGTGTGTGTGTGTGAGTGAGAGAGAGTGTGTGTGTGTGAGTGAGAGAGAGTGTGTGTGTGTGAGTGAGAGAGAGTGTGTGTGTGTGAGTGAGAGAGAGTGTGTGTGTGTGAGTGAGAGAGAGTGTGTGTGTGTGAGTGAGAGAGAGTGTGTGTGTGTGAGTGAGAGAGAGTGTGTGTGTGTGAGTGAGAGAGAGTGTGTGTGTGTGAGTGAGAGAGAGTGTGTGTGTGTGAGTGAGAGAGAGTGTGTGTGTGTGAGTGAGAGAGTGTGTGTGAGAGAGAGAGTGTGTGTGTGAGAGTGTGTGTGTGAGTGAGTGAGAGTGTGTGAGTGAGAGAGAGTGTGTGTGTGAGAGAGAGTGACAGTGTGTGTGTGTGTGTGAGAGTGTGTGTGTGAGAGTGTGAGTGTGAGAGTGAGAGTGT